GGTGTTTTGAATAATAAGGCCACCGTGGAACAGTTAAGGGAAGAGATACAAATATATATAGAGGACAATGATACTGTGGGATGCTTTGAAGGCTGTTCTCTGTGGAAAGCTGATCACCCTAACAGCATCACAAAAAAAGGCCTGGCTAGCCACATATAAAATAGAACAATTGAGAGAAATGGAGACAAAACATAAGAGTACAGGGGATCAATCGGCATTACAACAAATTCAGGAAACAAGGGGGGAGATAAATTAGATCCTCAGAGGAGAAATAGAAAAAAAGGTTTTTAAAGCAGTCTTATTATGAATCAGGCTCAAAAGCAGCTAGACTCCTGGCCAGACGCCTGCGCAAACAGCAAGCCTCTAATACAATTCATAGGACAAGGGACCCCCAAACTAATCAACTACTGTATGAGCCAGATGAGATAGAAAGAATATTTGAAAAGTACTATAAGACACTACTCTAATCCACCATTAGCTGATGAAAGCACAATAAGAAACTTTCTTAACCCGTTTGATCTGCCATCTATAGGTGAGAGAATGACACCATTACATCGCAATTTACAGTTGAAGAGCTGGAAGCTGCAATCAGTAGGCTAAAGACCAGTAAATCACCGGGCAGCGATGGGTTCTCTCCAGAGTTCTATAAAACTTTCACGAAGGAGCTAACACCTCTGCTTCTGTCTTGTTTTGATTGGACTCTTAAAGAAGGCAGGGCTCCCCCATCTTGGAGGGAAGCAATTATTTCCTTTTTGCCTAAGGAAGGCAAAGACCACTGTAAAAATGATAGTCCAATTTCTCTTTTAAATGTGGACTACAAGCTGTTTACCTCAATCATCTGTAAAAGATTTGAGACTTTTATGCCAGATCTTATTCATGAAGATCAAACTGGATTCATTAGAGGGCGCCAAACACAATACAATATCAGAAGGACTCTCCATATTGTAGATAATGCACATAAAAAGGGCACAAGTATGGTTCTGGTTTGTCTGGATGCAGAAAAAGCGTTTGACAGTGTCAGTTGGTCTTTTTTATATGAAGTACTAAGGAGGTTTGGTTTAAATGAAAATGCAATTCGGTGTATTAAGACTGTTTATCATGAACCTACGGCTAGGATCAAAGTAAATGGGAGTCTGTCCAATAGGATTCAGCTGGAGAGAGGCTCTAGACAGGGCTGCTGTCTCTCTCATACTCTCTTTGCTTTATTTGTTGAACCATTGGCGCAAGCAATAGGCGCATTCACACCGCAGTACTTTTCCCATAAAAGGTTCATCAGAACTCTTTAGTTCTCATGAACTAAGTCTAAAATATTATAGTGTGGTGGTTCGATACGTCGTGTTGATCCGTGGCGCACTCATAACGCGCAGGGCTGGAGTGACCTTTGCTGTTGGGACTCGGGTTTGAGTCCAGCATGAACTTTTTTGTTATTTTCATGTCGATGGACACTGAATATTATGTGGTTTGAATAGAGGATTCCTAATATTGTTTGCCGACACCAACATTAATGACCCATCAGCATTTTAAAGTCTAATATCCCTGCACATGCAGCAATGACATTTCTGCTGCTATCTTTGCAAAACGAGTTAACAGTCACATGTTATCTGGATGAGTGCTGCAGAATGCCGTTTTTATAAGGCATGTAGATGTGTGTGTCTTTCATATTAAACATGATCGCTGGTAGATAGCCACAGAAGTCGTTACACAGTTTAATCTGGGCGGATCCCATTTTCCCATGAGCGAATCACAGTTTACCTGAGAGGAACAGTTTACCTGAGAGGAACAGTTTAACACAGCTGAAGACTTCTCCACGCTGCTTTCAAACTGTGAGTAAACAACGTACGCTTCACTTGTAGGCTGTCTGAAGGTGTACACAGGTCTCAGATGGACTTGGTATCACATTAAGACCGATATTCAGAAATAAGTCTGGCAACAATAGCTGGTTTAAATGATTTATTGGAGCTCGCAATGTTTTGAACAGACATCCCCGATCAACTCGTTTTTCTTTTTGTAGTCCTCGCTGTTCGCGTCCGGATATTGCCATCGTAAGCACAACCTCACACACTGGTACTGAATGTGCATCAAAGTGTTCCTATCCAGCCAAATATACCAAAAGATTTATGTAAACGACAGAAGAAGCGATCGAAATGTGTATTTCAGTCGAGGCCACGCCTCCACATCTGTCAACCAGTTGATCGGGGAACCAGTCAATCCGGAACACCGGCCGCTGGGTCGGCGGCCGCGGAGACCGGTGTCGCGGGGGCTGCTGTTGCACCCGCCGGGGCCCCAGGGGGTGCGGATGAAGTAGGGATGAATATCGTGAGAGATGAAACAGGGATTGTAGAGAGTGTGGTGAGTGTGAGAGGAAAAAATGTGGAAACAGGTAAACGGGTGGGAGATGATGTAGCAGGACAGGCGAGGACTGGTGCTGTGGGACAGGTGGAGGCTGTTGGCACACAGCAGGAGCTGCCGTCTGATTCTGGGAGGCAAAAAGAGCTTCAACAGGCTGCAGACAATAATGAGGTGATAGAGATGGACACAGACGGTGAGGGGGATTCTGACTGTGTTTTAGTTGCAGATAGTCTCTCTCAGAACGCAGAGATATATTCTTTGGAAGAGATTAATGTCTTTTTAGATGAGTCCTTTGACAAGGCAGTGGAAGTGAGAGACTTTTTCCCTGACACTAACAAGTTTCTTCATACAGTGAGCACTCTTCAGAAAGTTGTAGGGTTAGACCTGCTGGATGAAAAGAGACGCTATCGTCTCAGGAAGCATGTAACTACTATGAAAAAAGTTACGAAAGGAAGCAAAAAAGGGGGGAAACTGAAAAGGTCTAAATAATTTCAAATTGATCATGCAACACTGGGTGTCTCCTCTCTGCTGTGTGTACCTGTCTGTTCTTTTTCTCTATCTCCTTCCTCTAATGCAGGCTTTAAGGGTTGCTTCTTTAAACATTAACGGGGGTAGAAGTGCACAGAAAAGAGCTTTAGTGTTAGAGGTCTTTAATCAGAAAAAATTAGATGTGATATTTCTGCAGGAAACGCACAGTGATAGCCTGAATGAGACGGACTGGGGAATGTGGTGGGGGGGTCAGTATGTACTCAGTCATGGCTCAAACCTTAGTGCTGGAGTAGCTGTTTTTTTCTCCCCCTCTCTAAATGTTAAGATGTGATCCAGCACAGAGATAGTGGCAGGTAGAGCCTTGATGGTGAAAGTGGAACTATTAGAGTTATTTTTCACTTTTATTAATGTTTATGCACCCAATCAGGGCCCTGCACGTGTATCTGTGTTTCAGTTATTAAAAGACAAGCTAGACACTAGTGTACAGGGGGAGTGTGTTATACTGGGGGGGGACTGGAACGCTTGCACTAATGTCACTTTAGACAGAATAGGACGGGAGCCGCATCCTCAGTCGTCCCTTTTACTGTCACAGGTGATAAGAGAGGCTGACTTAGTGGATGTGTGGAGGACGAAGCACCCCTCTGTTAAACAATACACCTGGATGAGAATGCTAGATGGGGGCGTCAGTGCAGCCAGGCTAGACAGATTTTACATGTCTGCTTCTTCTATTACTCGTGCAGTGAACTGTCACATCCAACCTGTTGGTTTTACAGACCATCAGCTAGTTTCTTTAGATTTGGTTGTATCCAACACAGAGAAACCTAGATCGTTCTGGCAGTTTAATGTTAACATTTTACAAGATTTGACTTTTTGTGAGAATTTTAAATTATTTTGGATCAACTGGAAATCAAAGAAAGAGTCTTTTCCCTCCCTGAGTCAGTGGTGGGAGGTAGGAAAGGCTCAGATTAGAGTGTTCTGCCAACAGTATACAGCCTACTCCACTGCAAACATTAGGAGAGCTGTAGAGCAGTTAGAGAGGGAGATCAGAGAGTTAGATAGTGTGTCTGCTCGAAATATAGAACAGTCCCTCCTAAAACAACAACAGCTTAACTGTTTTCTTCAGGAGAAGGCCAAGGGAGCTCTGATCAGAGCCCGTTTTACTTCCATGAGAGACATTGATGCACCAACCACCTTTTTCTTCAACCTGGAGAGGTCTGTGGGCCAAAGGAAGCAGATGGTATGTCTGTGTCTCCCCGATGGACAGGTAACCTCTGAACCTGCTGAGATGAGGAGGCATGCAGTGTCCTTCTACACAGACCTGTTCAAAGCCGAAGGTTGTGACGTGGAAGCTGCTGATGAACTTCTTCAGGGTCTTCCACAGCTGAGTCCAGCCGAAAGTGACACCCTGGGCTCTGACATTACGCTGGAGGAATTGACCTCTGCGGTGACACAGATGGCCTCCGGCAAGGCTCTGGGCATAGACGGTTTACCTGCAGACTTTTTTAAACATTTCTGGAGTATTCTGGGACATGACTTGCTAGAAGTATTGATGGAGTCCTTTGGGAAAGGGACTCTTCCAGCTTCCTGTAGGCGTGCAGTGATTTCACTGTTGCCTAAGAAAGGAGATCTAACCCTGCTTAAGAACTGGAGACCTGTGGCTCTCTTATGTACGGACTATAAGATACTGTCAAAGGTCTTAGCTAACAGACTGAAGTGTTTTATTGAACTTCTTATCGGTACTGATCAGACATATTGTATCCCTGGCAGATCAATTGTGGACAATTTGTTTTTGATGAGAGACACTTTTGATGTTTGCAAACTGTATAATATAAATGTTGGTATTATTTCTATTGACCAGGAGAAGGCGTTTGATCGTGTGGATCACACGTTTCTGGCTGCCACATTGCAGGCTTTTGGTGTTGGGGAGCATTTTTTGTCCTGGGTGAAGTGTTTGTACAGTGATGCATGTTGTGTTGTGAAGGTGGGGGGAGGGCTGAGCAGACCTGTACCAGTTAAAAGGGGGATCAGGCAGGGCTGCCCTATCTCAGGCCTATTATATAGT